TGGGCAATATGAGAGAAAATATTTTAACGGTCGTAGCAACACGCACTCAAAATAATTCACAGCTAAAAAGGCACGAACTCCCGTTACAACGAGTACAAGACGCTACAGAAAGCGGGTTTAGTCCCACCCTCTCATTCACTGGGTGTCGCCACGGTAAAACAAACAGCGCATTCCTTAAATGCCCCAGCGTTTCATTGTGATTAATGGCAATCGACCGACCGATTTTTTTTATAAGCGTGACGCGCACAACAGGACGACCGGATCGCCTGCGCGTCCCACGACCTCCTCGTCCGAAAAAAGAAATTTCTCACGACCGAATGAAGGAGGAAAAAGAACTCTCGGACGGGAACGACCCGCCGATCGCGGCGGAGAAACGGAATGTCTCACCTCGAGACGCTCGGAGAAGACTGGGAAGGAGGAGAACCGCGAATCCGAGGGAGAAGACGGAGGCGCCAATGCGGGAGGGACACGTCGGGGCACGCGGCGTGACACATACGTGGCGCGTCGACTGCGCTCTTCCTCCTCGCGGAGAATTTCCGCCTCGCCGCCTCCCGCTGCGGAGGGATTCCGGGATCTTGAGGAAAGTCGCTTGTAATTCCGTGCGGGAACTCCCGCTTCTTTTTTCTCTCCCTTCTGTGGAATTTAAGCTCTGTACTGTTTCGCGATGGAAAAGAATTTTAACAATGTATCAGCTGAGTTCCATTATGCAAATTAGGCCAGAGAAATTCACTCCAAAATTCAAAAGGTCACTTTTTTTTCTTTTTATTTTTTGTTTAGCTCGAAATGTGCCAGGTAAATTAACCCTTACGAAAATCCACACATGTGGACTGCCCTAAGTCCACCGGAAGATTTGGATGAATCCACATGTGATCCACATGTGGATTAAGAGGATCCATATAGAGCCCACACGGGGATATTCTTATGTCCACATTAGACTCTTGTCCACATCAGTCCACATCAGTCCACAACAGTTCACATTAAGTTCACACTATTACACTTGGCTAACTGTCAGTCCACATGTGGATCACCCGGAGGATTTGGATAGTTCCCCGGTGGACTACAGGGGGATTTTTCGTAAGGGAATGCTCTGCCGTTCATTTTGGTAAAGGCCTTCTAAGGGAAGGTCATGAGGAATTTTAAAATTTGCATTTTGAGAAGAAAAGCGTTTAGAGAAACTGCTCGTATAACAAAAAAAATCCAGTACATGCGAAAAAATAATGCAACAAAAAATCAATATGCGAACAAAAAAAAATAGCGAACGGAATTTCTCGGCCAAAATTGGCCTTCGCAGGAGCCGAAGCTACAAGAGATGAGGAACGGATGAAGAACGGGTGAAGGGTGCTTCGTCCACTGGCTCCTATCATTCAAGCGAAGGAAGTCACGTAAGCAAATAAGTTCATGCAGCAAAAACCAATCAAGCTAATTAACGATTTACGAACGTAAAAACGCAAAACTCTGTCGTTAGTCGGAAATCGCCGGATTCCAAGCGCTTTCGGCCCGACGAAGGGAGGGAGGAGGAAAGAAGCAACGCGGGAAGAAGGGAGGACGAAAGGACGGAGGGCGTGTCCCTTCTCCCCGTCCGTTCGCTGCATTTTCTACCGCCCGAGTTGCGAATTGAGAGCTCGCGCACGTTTCCCCGGCGATTTCCGACTAACGACAGAGTTTTGCGTTTTTACGTTCGTAAATCGTTAATTAGCTTGATTGGTTTTTGCTGCATGAACTTATTTGCTTACGTGACTTCCTTCGCTTTAAAAAAAATCTGTGAAGGATGGTTTTCCCACTAATAATTTCCTTTCTCGATTTCCCAAACGGTCTCTCGTGGCTGAGAGGAGACAGGGTGACATCTAACAAACGCAAGGCCAACTATCCCTTCATGCGTTTTCGTCGAATCCTCTGTGTGAGCGAATCTGTCATCCCATCATTCCGTCATTCCGCCACTCCGTCATTCCGTCATTCCGTCATTCCGTCATTCCATCGTAACGCAGTTTCATTTTCCAGATCCATGAAACGGAACTTCGAGGCGAGGGATTTATTTTGCTTCTTTTTTCTCTTGTCGAGATGATGCATGTAGCATGTAGCATTTTTGTAGCACGACTATCATGCGACAAAACTCGTGGAAACGATCTTCGGGCAGCGAAAGGAAACGCGAGATCGTACACATCGATCGCACGAACAAATTCCCTCCAGAAGCGGAGCCGAGACGAGTCTCAAGTGAAACGCGAAGATTTCAGCTCGATTCAACTCAGTTTCCATCAATTCCGCCTCGAGCTACAAGCGAATGCGAACAGGAGGAGACGCAGAGTGGGGCAACCATCAACGGTAGGCCTAGTAGAGAAGAGCAATAGGCTTAGTAGAAAAGCGCGATAGGCCTAGTAGGAAAGCGCGATAGGCCTATTAGAAAAGCGCGATCTGACGTGAAAGAAGTGAAGCGAAGCGACTCTCCGACGAAATGCCTGGTTCCTCGACGTCGGAAGTGGAAAATCTGCCCGACCCGCATTCCACAACGCGCTTCGCTTCGTCCCTGCGAAAGTCGATCACGCACGGCCGGTCGGAATCTCGCTTGACGGACCTTTCCCGCTCTCTCGACTCGAGCACGCGAACTGCAGCTTCAACTCGCTCTCGTAGATGTCGCGGAAGTGCTCCCCCATGGAAATCCGAGGGCGAACCCGATTCGGAGGCAGATCAGAATGCGACATTCAACCGTAGAGACTCGCGAGCCGGCGCCGCACAACTCTCGCCGTTTTTCATCCTCCAAACGACAAACTTGATTTTTTCCAACAAAAAAAATTCCCTCAGATCCATCCATAAATGAATAGGCGTTTCTGAGCCTATTTCCTTCCTTCAACCCCGTTACAAAATTCCACCTCCTCGTATTCCTCTCTGAGAGCATCTGGAGACACGAAATTGAGCATGCTTCACACCCTCTCGACACAGAATCTTCCCCGGAAATTCGTAGCTTTCATTTCCCTGGGTTGTGGCAAACACTGAACCGCCTTTTTTAAAGATGTCAATTTCATTCCCTTCCCCGTCCGGAGGAGAGACCCCCACCAAAAGAAAGACATGAGCAAGATACGTGCCCTTTCCGCCGTTAGTGACGCTCCATTTCGCTGTGAAAGAACTCAAAATTAGCTGCCTCTTAGGCTCATCGTACGGAATGGAGTCTCGTCCCCCAGTGTTGCCGGATATCGTACTGAAGTTACGTTGGAGTCATGACTGCTTTATCTTTTGATTCCGTGCCCGCGTCTTCTGTTTTCCACCGCATGATACATTTTTGCACCATCTTTACGAGACGATGTGAGAAAGGAACAGCGGCGACATACGGCCGATCGCCGTGTATAAGGAGACACCTCGCACGAGCATCCCTGAATCAACAGCATGGCGTCCATGATGCACATCGATTTCGGATGGATGTCCCTCGACATCCTTGTCGAGATGGTGAGAGAAACTCCAGGTAGACCTAACGTTGCAAGTCCTCATGTCTCGAAATCCGCGACATAAACCCTATTAGGCCCAACTGACCCCGTAAGTTTGGGGTTGAGATTCTTTTGAGCTGGAAAAGGTACGCCTAGGCCTGACCTGAATGCAGTTCGAGGTTTAGGCCTAAGTCTAACGTTAAAGAGTGATTGACTTGACTCTGACACTCGTGGTTGGGGACGTTTCTCATGTATGAGGGTGGAAGTCAAGTTTTAACATGTCTGACTTCAGTGAAAACTGTCGGGAATGCCGTGGGGGGGGGGGGGGGAGAACCTTTTTTCCAACAACTTCATATTTATTTGATGCGAGAGTCCGAATAAGCAATAGAAGAGATGAAGATGGCTGCTCCTCGAATCACAAATGAAGTAAAAGAAGTCCCCCAAAGTTATTTTTTAAAAAAGGAAATCTTGCCAAATTTTCTTCTTTTTGTTTTATAGCGCTCTCCCGCTTCGAAAAAAAATTGCAAATTCGGAATTGGATCTTGGGCAAAATGCACTGGTTGCTTTGCTCAGAGTTAGCCAATTCGCGCTGCCCCAATGAAAATGTTTATCAATGATTAAAAAAAAACGTGAAGGTAGATCGAAGCCCGTCAAAGATTTCCAAAGAAAAAAGAAAACCGAGCTCGGATCGAGACTTAGATATTCGAATACGAGTCGAGAAGACTTCATGTGTCATTCTTGGTGAATTTTGCTCTTTTTATCACCGACGGCCTTGTAGAAGTCCAGGCACATTCCCTTTCCATAATGTCTCATTCCACTTGAGAAAAGCGTTCGAGAAATGCGCCCCCGCGTGATTGCCACATTCTTAGCCTCCCGCTAAGCTTCGCTAGTCCTGATGCGCGCACTCTTTCATCCGAGTTACGTCACGAAGAGAATTCCCAAGGGAGAACGATACGAGGGTCGTCGCATTTTTTCACAGCATCCAACTGCAGGAAGCGAAGGGAAGCGTCTCGCTTGTTGGGAAGGGCAGCAGCAGCCTCGAAGGTCTGGACCGAACGGGCAGGGACTCCCGGCTCCGTCCCCGTCCTTCTTCCCTTCTGCCTCGCCAGTCGGGTTCCATGCGGGAGGTTCCACCTCCCGCTTCTCCCGGCCCAGTCCAAGGGCGGAGGGGCTCGGCGATTGGGGCGTTCGAAAGCGAGCCAAGGCGATTGCACTCGACGGCAACGTCTTAATTTCTAAGTGGATTTGCACTGAAATACTTCGTACATTCCATCCATAAGCATTCGGAAGTATTGTAGCATGAATCCTTGAGCACATAAACTAAATTGTCAATATCTTTCATCAAGGTTTCGTCGGGGCAGAAAATTATGAAGATTCGTGACCAGTCTCAGCATATCGAAACCTCTCGGTCAGTCTGTAGAATTCTCAATCATTCCCTTTTCCCTGCTTCCTTACTGCAGGAATGGGTAAGGAAAAGGCCAGGAATTCCTGTTGTATGAGCCAAACAAAGAGGGGGGAAAAATCGGAGGGAAGAAATAGTCCCGTCATCCTCCTCCCCGTCCCTTTCATCGTTTTCCCGTCCCTCCATGAAAACGATTCGCGATCCATTCCCTGCTCCCCTTGTCTGTCTTCCCAGTCGAGGCGTGCCGCTCTCGTAGTGAAGGTCTTTCACTGTCGCCGGCCGTTCTTCTTCCCGATCGAAGTAAGGAACCGTCGCAGACTCTCTTTAATGATGCTAAAGTCTCTGATTCCGGTTCGGAATTCTTTGGAGGGGGGGCGTCCGCTTGAAACTTCAAGGAAAAAAATTCTTGTTGCTGATTTTGTCGTGTCTCGTGCCAAGTGCATTTCTTCGTTGCTGCCAATTATCGATTGGCTGCCGAGTCCTGTCGTTAAGCCAAAGGTGCTCCCTTGAGCCTTTTTTTTCGCCCAGATGCATCGCGATGTGGTATGTGGGTTATAATTAGGATTTAATAAGGTTTCATTGGGAAACTATTCATGTTTCCGTTGATGCAAAAAAAAGGAAAAGGCACTGCTGATGATTCGGCTTGTCTCGTGGGTTTTATCGTGGAATCGATAAGAAAAAAAAGTTTTCCTTTCGTTTCATGGCAGCACAGTCGAAGAAGTTATTTTTAGGGTGGTAACCCGATGGAATATGAACTTAAATTCATTCTCGAACAAGCATGCATGGCGAAAAAAAAGTTCAAGTTCCAATGATAACCAAGAAGAAAAAAAGAAAACATGAATCCATTCACTTGCCCTTAAAACAACAGCGAAGTGAATGCAAACAATAAAAAGAGTTTGCATCCCAGTCGAGAATTTTCGTTAGTCGGTCCATAGGTGGAGAAGTCGACGTATCTTCGACGAGCGAGTATGTCGGCCAAGTCACGCTTGTGCCGGCTTGTGGCGTTGAGCCATGCTGCAAGCAAACTATCTGACAACTGAGGCATTCCAGTATGCCGTTAATAATAGTAGTAATATAAATTATTGTCCGCAATGAGTAGGTCTTCAATAAAGTCTATTCTGGGAAGGAATCCTTACCTTATTTTATTATCCTCATTATATTATTGTATTATCCTAATTCCCTCATTACCCTATATTCATTCCATGCTTCGCTTATAGGCGGCTTATCATCGCCTTATTTTTGGAGCACGTGCAAATACCCAACAATGAGCTGCAGTTACCCAGATGAAAACTTTTTTTACTAAGATTCAGTCGAGCCGAAAACTATGCGGCAGGTTTCCACACGGTTAAAGGAAGCAATATTTTCCGAGAGAATTCACATCCCCGACAGATTAAGCAATCCGCCTCCGCATAATTCTGGTGGAACCATGGGAAACAGGCCTCCCATCTTTTTCGAGTCTCGTGCAGTATGTGCTGTCTCATGAGTAGGGATGGGTTATAGACCGGTCAATTAAAAACATGTCAATTGATCGATCAATTGACTGGTCAATATTGTCAACTATAAGTCCAACTTTAATTTTTTTTCCCTGCAGTTTGTGTTCCGTTTGTATGTCATACTCACAAATGGACTAGGCATGGGGAGTTGACTGGTCAACATGGTCATTTATGACCATTTACTGACAATAGTGGTCTATGAACCCAACAAGAGGTTAGGTCTTATGACTCTATATGATAATAAATGGCCATGTTGACCCGTCAACAACTCATTGCTAAGATAGACTAAACCATACAGATTGCATTTGTTGGAACATTAAAACAGTTATCAGTCATGTTTCAGAGGTAAATTCTGTGACTAGTTAGCTCCATAAGTGCTCTGAATAATGAGGAATGCAACACATTTTGTCCAGGACTGGAGTTTCTTGGTTCCTGTTATTATTATGCATTCCTGTTCCTGTCAGAAAAAGATGTCTGTGCCTTGCTCAAGGAAGTTCTTCAGAGATAGATTTATTTTTTTTTGAGGCACAGACCTAGGCATAATCCAAGTTTACTTTGTCCCTTGATCACAGACAGAATATTTTGATGCTCTAATGCCATTGGCTAAAGACCACGATAGATCTTGCATTATATTAAAGTACTATAGCTGTAACTTAGATCTTAAACACCAGGTTATGCCTGTACACGCACTATACCACTCAGGTGAGAGGTCATGGTCGGTTGAGCACTGGCTATAATATTTTCATACCCAATGGGTGTCACAGTCCAGATGTTTGGCGGGCTGCATGAGTATAACTTTGAAATGGAACTGGCTCTTAGTATTTAGTGCTGGAGGATAAATGACCGCAGTTATGAGCTCTTTAAAAATTTATTAATTCAAAGAATGAAAGAAAGAGTGGTCAGTAACGGTTAATTGACCGTCCCAGACTCATGAATCAACGTTGATTCTACGTCATTTCGTCAACGCAGCTTACGTTGAAACCACGTTGCCTGTCAACATTGATTCTATATTGAAAGTTCATTTTTTATCAACAATTGATTCAACGTCGACATCAACGGTATATCAAAATTGATTCAATGTTCAAAACCAACATTGCAACGTTGATTCAACATTTGCTTATCAACGTTGACTCCATATTGAAAATTCATTTTCCTCAACGTTGAACAAATGTTGAATCCACGACTGGTTCCACGTTGATATGACAGGTTTCAACATTCCGTTTATTTCGTGCGCATGCTCCGTTTAATGAGCGAAGTAGAATTTGAATATCATCTGGACCGGATCTCCATCCTCCGAATCCGCTTTTTAAGAAGCAGGAGGACATCGGCGCGATTTCTGCGATGCAATAAGAGGCTGTCCTCATTCCACGCCGCGATCATGAATTGGATTCATCCTCCAATACAGGGCGTCGTGGTTTCGTGGAGTAATATGACTTCGCAAACTTTTTTGTGTCCATCAGAATTATCCTGGGTACTGCTTGGTTGGGTTGCCACATCGGTCGAATATATCCAGCAAGTCAAATACTTTCCTCGGCGTCGTTTGTGGAGAAAATATCATGCACTGCTCAGAAAGTACTCGAGACGCGTACTGATTGCATATATAAAGTAACTACCCATGTTGGGCAAATAGTCGCCATCACATTTCGCAGTCAGGAAATCTTATTTGTTCGCATGTCTCGCCTGATGTCTCGCCTGACATCTGTTGACCGGACGACGCTCTCACAATATTGCTGTCGTCCACATCGGATCAACATTGAATCAATGTCGAAGCATTGATGCCATAATTAAGCGTCTTTTTAATTAACATAAGCAATGCTGACGCTGGCGATGTTGTTTCACGAGTCTGTCCTTTCTTAAGACAACCTATAGTACTTCCATACGTGTCAAAGGAATTCACCATACTCAGGTAGTCATGTTACGCAGCAATGATGAAAAAATGATTAAAATGGGAAACTCTGTACATGATGACCATGCACCATCGAGACTGTCCCAGAATAACGCTTCTGCATTATTAATTAAGAAAACAGGAATGATTTCAGCAGCCATTACAGTTCAAGTTTAATTAGAATATATATATCTAGTGTCTTCACTACACTTCTACACCAAGCCCTTTATGGCCTGCATAAACACGTCGGTGCCTATATCAGAAAATAGGTCTGACTCAGTAAGGTTTTGAATCCTTGCTCCTAGTTATGCGAGCCATAAATGCCATTCTGTTTGCCTGATGCGTCGAAATATGAGTGCCTTTGAGTCATAGTCTTTTTTGCTCTAAATCGAAAGAAATACTTCCTGGTAGATCGGCTGAAGTGATTGCAAACACCGATGGAGTGTTTAAAAAAAAATCATTTACTGCAGATACTTCGACCGTCCAGCATCGAATGAATGTTTGCCTGATGTGGGTGTATCAACGGTGACGGTCACAGCGTCGAATCAGTGTTGATGAAACACGGACGTAACAACATTGATACATTCAATCCACACCTTGTCAATAAGCAACGCCTCATTCCAAACACGTCGGCGCCTATCTCGGGAATGAAAAATGCCAGATTTGTTCCGATTTCAAGCTCCTGCTCTAGGAAAGTGGAAGATCTGAAGGAATCAGGAATTCGATTCCCGGTCACGTCATTTTGTTTTCAGTCTTCTTATGCTACCCGAACTCTTCCCCCACCCCCCTCGGGCCATTACGTTCTCGAGAATAGATCCGACAGTCGCAAAAGGGCCGGAAAAAATTGCTCGCCGCGAGAGGGAGACGTACACCCTTTGGCATGCAAAAGGTGCCGCACATGCGCACGTAGATTTGCGGACACGCACACAGATCAAAGCATCGGAGGCTTCACACGCACGAACGCAGCTTCGTTACGTTTTAATAAATAGGATGGGTCACACCGATCCAGCCTCAAAAATGCACCTTCGTTCATTAGTAAGGTAAATGCCTAGATTTGAACATGTCAAAGTCAATCGATTAATCGGCTTAAATATATATTTATCGGCAAATATATATTTGATTTTTATTGAATTACCTTTTTATAATTTTATGTTTGTATTGAGACAATTCCACCATGTCAGATGCTCGCGAGAATTTTTGCTTCTTTTCGCTTGTTTGCTGCGATAGACTTTAGGCCAGGCGTCATTTCAACCACCTTATCGGCCCTAAATCGAGTATTTTTAGTGATCGTAATGCATTCTGGCCCCGTATTCATGAAAATTTCGTAAGTCCTCGTCTCATTCTTACGAACACTGTTGGTATTCATGAAACTTCGTGGCAATGATAATGAGCCAGCCAATCATAACCGACCTCGGGAGCTACCAAACCAATCGCTGAGTAGAAAACAACTTGTTTCTCACGCTGGCAGCATGACTCACGAGTCCCCATAGGAGCCTTACTGCGCATTCCGTGCCGTTGTTTTTGCTCTTACAGGAAGTTTAAACACGACTGGAGTTCCTGTTGAATCTTCGAAAACACCCTAAAAGACGGTACCCAGTAATAGGGACAAGTCCTCAGGACATATCAAAGATATGTCCTGAATATTAATTTGTGATAAACAATACAAAAAATGGAAGACCTTCCCGTGTTAGATGCTGATGTTAAATGCACAAAAAAATTAGGAGCACGAGAACGTTCCTCTGACCCCGTGAAGTCTTCTTGAGACCATTCTTTCGTGCATGCGGTTCCCAAAATTCTCCTTTTGCGTTTAGTTCCAGGCCTGCCCTTCCCGAAATGATTCTCGATGAAACCGTTACGCAACCTCTCTTTATCCACAGGGAGCATATGTTCGACGGGCAAGGAATTAAAGTTAACGTTCGGAATGAAATTTGAGCCGAGACGAAGCGACCCGGCCTCCCCCGCCCGCTTAGCGGCTGCTAAGCCTATCTGCCTATTCCCTTGGTCTCTGCCAGGCGGATGTGGACCACCCGGATGCACGGCTGGTTTTTTCGCCATCATCGCGCGTGGCAGTTCTCGGAGTCCTTCGATGCCGATGCATCGCATTCCATCGACGAAATCTTCCGGAGGACGAGGAGACAAAAAATGAGTCGACTCGAGGGCGAAGGCGCGTGTCGATGGGGCATCACGAGGTTTTCCTCGGCAGCAGTCATCACAAAGAGGAAATGATGAGAGTCGTCACACTCTCTTCATCTGCGATTTCCTGCAGAAGATGCAACTGCAGACCGAAAAGCATCTGATCTATGGCTTGCGATTACCTACGAGTACTTCCATCGCACCAAGCCCCTTTTCTTCCCAATGCGCTCACGTATGCACCCGGCATGTAATGGATACCCACTCTTTGGATATCTATCGCGTGCCTGGTTTCAGTCACGATCGCTTCCAAACCTAAATGACCCATCGTTTCTCAGCACAGGTCAGATATTTCATTCTTTAGCCGGTTCAGTCCCAGTCACCCGATGTTATGTATCCTCGACCCCACGGTCTTGTACATCAATAAGTCCCTCTCCCCTCCTGGCTTTTCCGTAAATCCGGCACCAGTCATTGCACCGACCAGTCTTGTGCTGCGCGCTCCCGACCACCTCGCGTGCTCGCGTTGTTCCGTGTTCCATGATGGCTTTACCCCCTTCTCCTCTTTCTTTTATTCTGTAGGGGCACTTGGATCGTGTTCGTCTGTCCGTCTTTGCTCGTTTTGTTATTCTTTTTTTTAAATATCCATCAAGAACGAGAAGTTTCTTTCCATTTTCGCTTTCCACATTCTCATCGTCTGAGGACCGACCACTTCACGATCTGAATCCTGAACCACCTCATTTTTTCCAGATATACTCCCATTTTCGATCTCGATAGACATCTTGTCGATTGCCTTGTCTCTGGCGACTGAGAGAATCATCCTGCAACCATTTAGGAGATGGACGTGTCGGGCCTGAACTCGTGGATGAAGTTTCTCTCACCTCGCCAGAGACATCTAGCGGTGGTCAGGATGTATCTGAATTCAGAAAAGGTTGCGTATTCCCAACCGAATCCCCAATACGATCCAGGAGTCATTCCATACGAATTCAACCAGGCAGTGCGATCGACCATCTCGGATTTCGCGATCAAAATTCTATTGATATATATATATAATATAAAACAATTGAAATATATTTTTAACATTAAAAAATGTATTTAATAGATGCAACAAATTAGATATCTTTGGAAATAGCACTTTTCAAATGATACTACTCGTGATACCGTATGCCCTCCGCGGAATTGAAAAGTGCTCGACCAAAAATGATTTAAAAAAAAAAGAGAAAATTCCAACTTTGAAGTAAGTTTTTCTCCAAATAGCGGACAAAAAGTAACCTAACTTATCCATGGAAATGAGAGGGGAGTGCACATTCGTGCATAATACATCACATTCAGATCGAAACGAATTCAAGCCTTAATGGCCCCCTCGTCACTGAATCCGCGACGTCCCGTTTCTCCGCAGGATGAAGAGAACGAGTCCCACCCTGGCGCTCCTATTCCTGCTCCTCGCGGTCCAGGCCCGCGAGATCCAGGCTCAGCGATCGGGGACGAACGCGACCCTCACGGAGGAGAAAGGTACAACGGAGGCCTCCCGCTGCCCCATGCCCAGCATGGACTGCCTGATCCCGACCCACGTCCGCCTGGCGAAGGCCGTCCTCGCCTGCGTGTCCCTGCCCGACTTCACCTGCTGTCTCTGTGCCTCCCAGCTCATCTTTCTCATCTCGGCCGCCACCTTTCCCCTCGTCTTGGCTGCCGGGCTCCTCTCAGTCGTCTCCGATCCCAACTTCAATCCACTCCGTACTTGAAATTTCAATAAAAGAGTTTGAGAGTTCGGACGAAAGGGCATTGGAATTGACATCATTGTGGGTTCCAGGACTTGATTGTGTCGACCAGACGACCAGCCGACCACCTCCTTCTAGTCGTCTATTAAATACGTCCTAAGCATATTCTTTGATGTTCAAGCCCTGCAAAATACATCGATGTCAATTCCACCTGAAAAAGGACATTTAAACATGTAGTCACGACCTGCTGAACATCCGCCGCCTTTTGTGTCAGCATTTCATCATTTCACTAAATGCTTCACCGACGAAGTATCTCTGCAGAATCTCCAAATGACAAAGGTCCCCCCCCCCCCCCCCCCCCCCCCTCC